TTAAGAAAGGACTTGTATCGCTAAAGTTTCTTCAGAAAGAATTTTTACGGAAAATTAACTACCGACCGGAGCCGTAACAAGATCATGCTTGTGGTGATTTGGACACACAACAACGACCATATTTATGACAAGTAAATTAAAAAAAAAGTTAAATTTTGTAAAGACAAGTAGGGATAGATATATACGTAACCTAGCTAGCTATGGTACTATAGAAAGTTTTAATAATACAAAAAGTATTGAAACAAGGAAGTTAAAACTACAAAAACTGAGTTACTTAATTTTGTTTGTAATATAAATATTGATATTTTTTACTGTATAAGTTTGGTGTTGTTTCTGCTTCATGTAGTGATTTGATTGACATAATAATTTATTAATCCTTGAGTTTTTAGAATGAATATTTATGGACTAAGTGAGAATCATTTAGAAATTTCAAGTAATTTGTAGTGGTAAGCTCTAAATTAGCCAATATTGTAAAAATTATTTATCAATAAAATAAGTAGGAATTGATTAACAGATTGTTTTATAACCTGTTATAGTTCTTGTAAATGTGTATGATTTACAGTGTAGACGTTGCAACAAGTATAAGGTCACTTTTTGTGACCACAAAAAGCATTAAGTTGAATAACAAGAGTGAAACTGAAAATAGGTCTTACTAACACTTAGATTATCTTTTTTTAAAACTTGTCTATTAATTTATTCTATAATTCAATAGAACAAGTGGTTTTGTTTTAATTGCATTTTTAATATTTCAATTCCAAAACAAACCAGCTGAAACCAAATATTTAATGACATTACCCTGTAACATACCAGAAAAACTATTGTTGTGTCAGTGAGGTCACATGACTAGTGTCACGCCACGTTTCTAGAACTATCCTGTACCTTGGCAAATGCTCTAGCATTTACTAGATATAGGGTAGTCTGGTATATAAAAGAGGGTGACAACGTGACGGGACAAGAATGTGTGTGTAGACAGTGAGTAATTGATTTGCAGTCAGAGAGTATTATTGAAGTTGAGCACGTTCGTTGTTATAGCGTTTGTTTTAGCGCGATTGTTGAAATTAAGTGTATCGTAAAGTTATATTCGGAAAGAATAAACCAGGTTTATTAAGTAAGGACTTGTGTCGCTAAAGTTTCGTCGGAACGAATTTACGGAAAATCAATAAACAAACGGAGACGTAACACTATATATATCTTACAAGTGATCTCCTTCAACTAAAAAATTATTGCTCTGTATCAAATTAAACATAATATAAGTGTCTTTTTTTAAGTTGGTAAACTGAATTTTATTTGAACTATTCTGAATATTTGCTTATTTAAGGTAAATGTTTAAACTGCTTAAATATTACAATATTTGTTTTGAATCATGAATCACTCTGTAGTTTCAATTTCCACTTTTAGTTAGTTTTTGACCAATTGGGTCCTTTTCCAAAAATGTAACATAAGTTATCAGTCTGGAAGTGACTGCATAAATCCCATGTTGTCACATGCATTTTTCACAAGTAGATTGACAGAACTAGCGTTACATTTTCAACATTAAGTAATACTATAAAAAAAATTATTAAACTTATGTTGAATCTTTTGAACACAAATGGTCAGTTTTTAATGACATTTGGTTTTGTTGAATTATATTGAATGGTTAAACAGGTAGAATATAATGAAGATGATGGTGATGTTGAAACTGGGAGAAGCAAGAAGAGGAAACGGAAACCAGCTTACACTGGAGGGCTTGTATTAGATCCTAAAAAAGGTTTTCTCTTTTTCATTCATTGTTATAATTTAATACTGATTATAAGACTTTTCAGAGAAATGTCAGCAACATTGGTAGTCTTCAGTATAGCATGTGACATGAAGATCTTAAACTATGACAGCATGTCATAACTTTGTGTTTATAAAAAAAAAGGGTCTTATATTTAAGCATCAGTTATCTGCCAGTCTTCCAAGAAAATGCAGGATTAATTAATGAATAAGTATCAGGTTATATATAA